CGAAAGGTTTCGAATTGTCATCAGGTGACGACGGGAGACCAATCGGAAAGGGGAATCTGAGAGAAAACAGATAAAACCCCGGAAATTCGAGGACGCGACGGCTTCTTCTCCCGAAAGTTCCAAGTGACGGATCTGTTGTTGTGTGTGTGTCTCGCACCCATCTTCGTCTCCATCTCCCGACCTCGGATCGACATCTTTCCATCAACGGAAGTCAACTGCATCATCCCAGAGTCGTCGAGACGTGATGGAATGGTTCATTCGCGAACAAGGGACACTCCTTCAAAATGGGACTATCTTGGAAAGAAGAGGAAGACCCAGAGGCCACAGAACTTCCAAGATCGCGGAAATCTTGTAAGCTTCTTTCGTGTTTAATAAACAGTTGTGTTGTTTGTAAACGAAGCATCTATCTCTGACTCAACTGCTTCCCCATGTCGTTGATTGTTACCGCTCGGCAGTCCAGACGGCAAGGGAGATAATGACGATACATATCACATATTAACGTTCATTGAGTCTTTTAAATTTCTCCCCCCTCGGCCCCCACATTTATAGGTATCTTTGATCATGCCTGGTGGCCTTCTATCTTATACACATTACATGCTCATCACTGCCCTAAAAATCTTTACAAATTTCTTCAGTCCTATCTTAGCAACAGGAGTGCAGGTGTAGAATAGTATTATGATTTTCAGAGGAGTATATAGCCAAAGAAAAATATCCCCTATGCTTTAACTATCTATACAACACAAAATAACATAGTCACATCTATCATTTGAGGCTCTCCTCAGGGATCCAGGTCTGGTCCTGGTCTCTGGAACATAGCCTATAACTATTCTGCACTTAAACAATACCCTGCCTCCTGGCTGCCACATACAGGGCTATGCGGACAACACAATTATCCTAGCTTCACACAGGACCAGTGAATGCTTACATGACATATGCAATGACATTCTCAATAACATTCATCAGTGAAGTATTAAGCATAGCTAGGCTATTAACACAAAAAATTGCTAAAGCACGATAGTTGGTAGGAACACAGCACTCGTCAAGAAGCTTTGAATAGGTGCTCACAGAATAAAGCAAACAACAGAAATTAAATATTTTGGCTATTCTTGATGAGAGACTTAACTTCACACCCCACAACAAATATATCAAGGACAAAGCTAAAAAGATGGCCAATGCCCTCATTAGTATTGCTAGTAACATATGGGCCTTACCCCTATCGCTACTAAGCTTATTTACAAGGGTGCAATTCAGCCAGCACTCCTCTATGCCATACAGGTTCGGGGCCATGTGGCCGTCAAAGCCCATAACCATAAAAAAAACTATTACCTGTTCAAAGAATTGCAGCTCTCTGCATTTGTAAGGCTTATAGGACCGCACCTACTAGTGCCCTTTTGGTAATGTCAGGATTGACTCCTATTGACTTAGAAATTAAATGCAATATTTGGCAGGAAAATCTCGCCATCTTACCCTGGCAAGATTACAGCGACTCGGATGTCAACAAAATGATTAGAGTAGGTAAGATTCCCCCCCGTTTGACCTTGATTGATGATATCAAAAAATTCAGCAGCGATAAAAATACCCTCCTGACTTACAATTACCACTCCTCCCATCAGCTTGCCCCAACGTTTACTTTGAAGATCCAGATGATCATCCCATGTTTAGGATTTACACTGACTGTTCCAAGAGATGGGTGACAATGTGAGTGCAACAAATCCTAAAATCTCATTTATAAACACATTTTCATAGTGTTTGAAATAAGGAAATTGTTATTTTTGAGTGTAATTTATGTTGTAATAATCAATAGCAAAATATTCAAACTACCAATAAAAAAGTTATTTTTGATGTAATTAATTACTTAAAAGACTAATGATATTGATAACACTACCATTAATACCTTATGTGCTGTACAATATATCAAACTATATACATCCATACATCTGTCATTCTTAATTATCTATCATGTAATGATACAAGGGTTAATGCTGGAAATCAGATAGCTTATTACCTTCTAAATATTCTCATATATATACTGGCATTAATATTTTAAACTTATTTTAAAATTTAAATGTGTTTAGTGGAAATCATAAAAGTGTTAAAATTGAATTTTTAAAATTCATTCATGTCTTAAATAAAAATAACTTAAAATAAAGAGAAATTACAACTGTTTGTCTTTATTACTGATTTATAAACATATAAATAATTTTTATATGGCATGATGTATTAATACATTATATACAGTAATATATTTCTAGGTTCAGAAGAAGAATCATTATTGAACAGAAGACACTTTCTTTCCTCTCTTTATTTTGATTGTAACAAAATTTATTCATTTGTAAACAATTTCAAATAAAAAATATTTGTTTAAATAAAAATTAGGACAAAAATCACTTCATATTTACACAGAAATTATTCATAATTGGTATCAGTTTTCAAAAGAAAAATTACAATTCAAACTCTTAACATTTCTATTTGTTGTTAAAATTTTAAAAATGTTGTGATATTTTTTATAATCAAATATTTTTACAACAAATATAAGAAAAATTCTATTATAAAAATATCTTTTAAGACAAATATATAAAAATACATATTTTAAACAATATTCTAGCTTTAGTTAGATAAAGCTAACTGTAAGTTTAACTAAGAAATAATTGTGTTTATATGTTATTTTCTTACATATAATTTTAGTTTTGTGATATTCATATTCTATAAAGAAATTAATTAATGTAAATATAACAGTTCTTGTGAATATTACGTCAAACAATAATTTAGTATCACAAAGAAAAACAAGAGAGACTAAATCTGAAAAAATTGATTTTATACTTTAAATTATCATGTTTATTCACATACCATGCACACATTTTTAAAAAAGAAATGATCTGAAAATTGTGAGATATATATACATATATAAGAAATGATCTGCAAATTAGGACACACACACACACACATATATATATATACAATTCAATTTCAATTCAGAAACAGCCACTGACTTTTTTATCAAAAGCATATCTTTTATGTGCTTTTGCTGAGGTTGCACTATAAAAAAGTCAATGACTGTTTCTGAATTGTATCTTAAGCTATAAATATAATTTATGAATCTTGAACTGTAGTTATACTTTCTGAGTCCTTATTAACTGCTAACTTTGCTCAGTGAATATGAATATTGTTTAACAGCAGTATGGAAAAAACATTAAAGAAAAACACATTCATTAAAAATAAGTAATTCTTCAAATTTTATTAAAATAATATTTTATATATTTACACCAAAAGGACTACAGAAAATATTGATATTTAAAACAGCTCTCTCATACTGAGTAGTTTTTAGTAGTAGAACTTAGCATTCTGATATTGATTTCAGTTAATTAACAATATAAAATTGACAATACTTTCTGTATTAACATAAATTAATCTTTAGTATATACATATGTTTATGTATATTTTCTCTGCAATAATAAAAATAAAGAATATTTTATTTTTTTGGTCTTCCCAAAAATAGATTGCAATATTATATATAAAAATGCATGATATATGAATAAATGTGATAACTCTGTGTTTTTAGACTTAATCTGTAATTAGTGTTTAACCTTTCAAAACTGTTTGAGAAACTAGTATAAATTAATAATTATTTTCTTATATTTAATCTGCCTTGTTTTACTCTATTAAAAGTTAGATAACATACAAACAAGTCAACCAAATGTAACAATAAATATTGTTACAAATTTTACAATATTTAGCTTAATTTTGCTGTTTTAATAATTTAACTGATAGATAAAGTACCCTATATAATAATGAATTATTTAAATTTCTTAAGCATAAAAAATTATTTTTCTTTATAAATAATTTATTGTTTCTATTTCCTACTTTCTGTAACACATGATGCAGAATACAATTCAAATATTTAGTAAGCTCAAAAATTTTTGTTTACATTGATTCCAGGTTGACAGTTTTGTCAATCAATAAAACCTAGAAAAATAGAACATATCTTAATTCTATAACTATATATCAATAGTTTACATTTATTTTTAACATCTCGCTCTATTTATTTAAATAATATTAACAATAATAACTCTTTAGCAATAATTCTCTTAATTCTTCCTGTTAAATTTTTAAAATAAATACATTCACAATAAATTAAAAATTTTAATAACAAATAATTGATTGTGGCAATTTATATAAACTAGTAAACTTTTAATATGACACTTTTTGTGCAGGCAGTTTGCATGTATACATAACTTATGTTACATACGTATGTGGACAAAGATAAATCTATTTATTGTATAGTGCAACTGTACATTAACAGATTTTAAAATATCATATATTTGTCCAGTTTAATTAGATTTTCTTACTAAATAACAATTTTTACAACTTTTTTTACAGAATGATGATAATCCTGTACACTATTTTACATGTAGATTTATTATGCTTATGATGAAATGTTCAAACTACTTGATCACACAAGCATAATGAGTACAATAATAACTGAAACTGTTTATTACTTAGTACTTGATGTTTTGATTTAGTGCTATAAAAAATCTTAATATAGACAGCAATTTTTTAAACTATGACAGTTACAATCATTGAAAACATATGATGAGTCTTGTAACAAATGACTTATAAAACATTTCGTAAAAGCTTGCATATTTTTATACCTTTACATATTATATATATATATGTTACCGCTAAAGCTTGAAAGTTGTTAATGTGTTCATTACCTAGCTAATCTGCAGATTAACTAGGGTGATCCGTTAAAGTTGTGAAAATTGTTCTATTTTTCAAATTATTTAGGTAATGTGCAGATTATCCAGGTAATCTGCAAATTACCTACTAGGCACTCAGTAAAGTGAAAATAAGATCTTACCTAGATACTCTGCCCATGGTGGATTACCTAGATACTCTGCACATTATCTAGGTAATTTGAGAAATAAAACAATTTTCACAACTTTAACGGATCATCCTAGTTAATCTGCAGATTAGCTAGGTAATGTACACATTAACAACTTTCGAGCTTTAGCAGTAACATATATATATATATATAAATTAGTGCTTTTTGTCTATTGAATAAACAGAGATGAAAGAATCTGTACTTCCAGCTGCAAGATTTACCTTAAAAACAAACAGATAATATAAATAACTATAAAAAATTTCATTTATATTTAAAATAATTAATCCTATTGTTAATATCTTTAAACTACATATTTTAGAGAAAAGTTTAATAATTTTTCTTACTAAATACTCTCAAATTTTTAATATGACTTTATATATGATTATCTTCTCAAACTACTTTTAGAATTTCCCTGATTTTAAAATATTTCCATTCTAAGTTGATCAATAAAAATAAATTTTCATTTAATATAAAGAAGAAATCAGCCAGTGTGAAGAAGAATCTAGGAAATAATTATGAAGATGTAATTGATTTTATAGATTTCAAATAAAAATGAGATGTCTTTGTTGAGTATAAAGAATTAAAATCTGAAAATACTTTCCAATTGAAATCAGGAAAATGACTATTAGAAAACTATCTTCATTGCATTGATAAATCAAATGAAATACATGTTATTCTGATTCTAAGTATAATTCTAAATGAAGAATTTTTGATGTATTTAGAATGAAGAATTTTTAGAATTACAAATATTTAAATAAAAATTAAGTTTCACTCACTTTATATGGATGAAAAGCTAAGCAACTAATTGGACCAATTCGTTGACCCATGAATCCATCATGATATTTAATTACATTAACTGTTTCACCAACCATACTATATACACTGATGAATTGATTTACAGATCCACTGAAATAACAGATCATTTAAATAGTTATTAGCTGATAATATATAAAAACATTTAACAGAATAAAAATTTTTAATTTAATTACCAAGAAATTAAATCAATTGCAGAATGAACTGACATAGCAGTCATGCCCTGAGAAGACTGCACAGTCTTAAGAGAACTGGTAAGTCGTAAATCCCAAAATTTAATATCACCTGCAACACTGTTGTTATAAAAAAAATATTTAAATTCAGGTTATCATCACTACCTATTAGATTAAATTTACTTATAAATAAATACTTGCCTTCCACTCACTATTTTTCCAACAGAATCAGAATGTTGATATAAGTGAACATTGACCACCCATCCAGAATGTTCTCTTAAAGTTGTAACACGACTAAACATTATAATAAATAAATAAAATTACTTTCTTTGCAATATCTATGATTACTATAGTTAAATAAATTCATCTCTCTCTAACTACAAATATGCAAACAGTTTAAAAGTATCATATCATTCATTTGTTATAGTCTTAATTATTATAGAACTTATATTTGATAAAATACTTCTATATAAGTATATAAACAAATAAATTTTGTATACAGTATTTCTTTTATTATTGTAAAGCATATTTCTCTTTCTGACATTTTATTATAAAATATGTTAATCATTAAGTTATGCACTTATAAGTAAGTGCATAACTTAAATAAATTGTATCGTAAGTGATACAATTTGACAGTTCTAACAAGTTGTAATAAATTCCATGACTATAATTGACAATAGCTACTCAAGATAAGTGTGTTTACAGTTATGGATTGCCAATGCATTAGCCAATAAAAAGAGAGAACAGAAATGATAAACTATACTTTACGAACAATTATTTATTGTGACTTCGTCACAATGCCAGCTGCAATTTTTAATTTATTTCATTTAAAATATATGCTCTTCACCTCAAATTATTAGTAGTGACCTGCCCCTGTACATCATACTTTTCCTTTAACAACAGAGTTATGCCAGTCATCTATCATCTAACACCTTTCAGAGGAAAATTTTTAAATTGAGATAACATGACTTTCAATTTGATTTTGGAAGTTCATATGTAGTTAATTAAAAATTAATTAAGAGAAATTAATTAAAAAATCACTGAAATAAAATTATAAACTTTATGATCACTCCATTTTATTTTACTCTTTAGAATGAAAAGGATCATTTCATGTCATCAAATGATAATGCTAATGACAGCAAAAAAAAAGAGAAATGTCATAATCTGAAGTCATCATATTTGTTCTCTTGCTGCAAATTTCACTCACTTGCTAGTGTCTACATGATAACAAAACATTTTTAAACTCTGTCTAGATTGTACTTTTCCTTTTAGTATGCCATGCCACATGTTTTACTGTGTATCATCATATTTCACATAGTTTTTCGCCTACAAAATACTTATAACAGTCAAATGATTTGTAATTTTTAAACAATTGCTTTGTATAATAGCAGATTCTGTTCACAAAGTAATTGTGAAAATTGACATATTTTGTCAATAAAGAGATTATGTAGTTCAACATCTAAGAGATCAGGTCACTCCAGGTCAAATTGCTTAAGTGTTCCTTTATATTCATCTTTAGCCTCACCATCCAAAGTAAAATAATAACTCATAATTATTTATTTTTATTTTGTAATTATTTTGGTGTTTAAAATATTAAGACGATTTCAACGTGTTAAGTGAGCAAGGTACAAACATAACAGAACCATATGGAGCTGGAAGTGAGAGAGGTTCTGCTGCTCACATGATGCTTTGTGCTTTGTTTATTATTTTACATAGGTGAATAATTACATCTACAATATATTGTTAACATAAACAAAATGAAAAAAATAAAATGTTTGAGACAATATTTTCTGAATTACAAAACTTTATATATATAAATTAATTAAATCAAATTATTGTATATTTCCTTGAAATGTCTAACAAATACAGAAAATATTTAATTAACATTATTATTATTATTAAACATTATTACGTTATTATAACATACTATGTAAATCATAATTATTACTAAATACATCTATTTATATTGTTGAATTAATTTATTAACCTTTTAAGCACATCAAATATTGTTATGCAGTAGAGTTTGCTTATTGTAATCACTTTAGGACTTACCAAAACAGATAACATTATGCAAAGTAAATAAGACTACAATTGGAGGAAATTCTGATTTAATTAATTAATAAACAATTCACCTAGTATGATCTTTCTGCTACCACTTCAACAACAGCTAGTATAATGCTAGCAATCTAAACTATTGTATTGTGAACAAATAATGATTAAAATTGATTAATTTAAAGCACTAGTTAAAACTGATAATGGTTGCATGTTTTCAGCCATATATTGAGGTACTAGCAGAAAAAGGCCTATTTAACTGAAGATCATGATGATGATAATGATAATCAAATTCTGTTTACAATAAGTAGTTTTTATAATGTATTACAGTGGAACCTCACTTAACGAGCACCTCTCATAATGAATAATTTGCATAACGAGCAAAACAAATTGTAAAAAAATGACTTCCTTAATAAGCGACGTTTTGCATAACAAGTGATGAGGAGAGGGAAAGTCCCAGTGCGCACGCTACATCAGTCTGTGTTTAGCACTCATTCTGCTAGCATCATACATTTTTTCAAACTTGTGTTCAGACATATTACATACGAACATTAATAACAATAGCTTGTTATACAATAAACACACCAAATGTTATGCCAAATTCTTGAGCTATGTAAAGACTATGATTAAATATTAGAAATGATTGTATTTTGATTATTTTTGTTTTCTGAAAATCGAATTAACATTCCAGGTTGGTTCATTCTGCACTAGAAGAAAAGATGATGATGATGATGATGATTCATGTTCTTTAGCAATGTATATTGTGTAATTTTCTTTGAATAAATGTTATATATAAAATATTTGAGTATTTTTTTGGCTTGGAATGCATTGTCGTGTTTTACATTAATTTATATGGGAAAATTGTTTTGCTTAACATGTGTTTCACGTTAAGAGTAAGATTCTAGAACAAATTATGCTCGTTAAGCAAGGTTCACTGTATTAGAATGTATGTTTGGAACCTGCTAATTTTGATAGCAGTAATCAGAGGTTACTGTATATCAAATAAGGATAAATCAGAATTATTTCTGAATTAAAAGATATTTGGACTTTTCATAAGTAAAATTCTTAAAATAATTGACAATGATGTATAAACAAAAAGATTATCAAAATAACACAATAAATAAAAATTTTAGTTAATTTTGATATATTGGTAATGTTACAATATTTTCCTTTTTCCAATCTTTGTTTACAAATGATTAAATTTAATGAGAAGTTATTTATTGTGACATAATCACAATTCTAGACTGCAATTTTTTAGATCTCAATACACAATACTCTTGATTTTAGTAGTGTTTTGCTCCTGTATATCATACTTTTCCTGTTAACAAGAGGGTCGTGTTGGTCATCTTAATAACTGTTCTGAAGAAAATTTTTGAATTAAAATAATGTGACTTCCAGTCCAAACCAGAGGTTCATATAAAGTTAAATGGGGTCTCTGGCTCCTACACTTTACATTTCTGGTCTCAACTTTCATCTATCTAACTCCATTCTTGAGATTAAGGAAGGACAGACAACAGGTGGATGCCAGTGGGAATTTATAGATCTGCAATTTTTTAATCAATCAAAAAAATTAAACAGACAAAAATTTTATCATGAGTAATATCCATAGTATATTTTATATTTGAAGAGCTACTTAGAAGTGGGAAAGAGCCACCAGATAAGTTTGGAGTGGCAACATTGCTAATGTGGCTTTTGGCAGGAATGATTGTAATACCAGTTGTAGAATACAACTGGTATTACAATCTGGTATATACAACTGGTATTAAATAAGTATTAAATAAAATAGTTGTTGTTTTGTACTGGTATTAATTTTACTAATAAGATTGTACACAGACAAAACAATATCTAATGTCATGAAATTAAAAGCCAACTTCTTAGCTATTAATTATTATTAATAAGAATTAACATACACTACAGTTGACAGTAAGCTTCTACATAGTTCCCTGAGAATCATTATGTAAAAAAGAGGTAATTACCAAAAATTTATCAGATTTCAAAATGCAAGTTTTAGTAGTAGTGTGTAATAATATTAATTAAAACATGAATTGATACACATGGAGAGATTTACAGTAAAACATAGATAACTTATGTGTTTGGTGGTTTCCTACAAAATTGCAATGGCAGATAAATATGTGAAGTGCCTAACCAATTTCTAATGACTCTCTTAATAAGTTTAGACAAAGGAAAAGTACTGAATTAACTCTTAACTGTACTGTAAAACTGAAAGTTAATCCTCAAGCAGCACATAACTTGAACCTACTTTCAAACTCACTTTGAAATATAGGTAATCTATAAGTAATTTACAAGAAATTATAGTACCACTAAAACTATAAAACTGCAAAAAAAACTTTTTTAAAAGTTAAAAAAAAATCATAAATTGGTCAAATACTTATGGAATTAAAAACATTTCTGATTTTTAAAGTTCATTGTTCATTTCTTTATTAAAAAGAAATACTTTGGAGTTAGGACAAAAAAACTTTTTAAGTTTTTGAAGAAATTTAAGATCTGTAATTTTAATGCAGTTAATTTTGACTAAAACTTTTACAAAAATAAAAATACTAACAGAGGTTATCAAGACTATTAAGAACAGATTATTCATTACTAGAAAAACTAATTTTAATCATTGGTATAGTAATAAAGAGTTAAGTAGCAATGAACCATAGTTGAATAAAATCATGTTTATTAATAATATATATGAAGTGAATACTAATTCTAATATTAAAATATACATTCATTTTAAAATACATTTTGTTTCAATAAAAAAAAACATTTGCTTTAATAATCTTTATAACAGAATAAAAATAATTTTTCTGTAGTATTTTTTAATATATTCTTCAACCTCATCATAAGAGTAACTTTTTTGGTTTTTCACAGCAGTTATAAAAAATATAATGTGTATTAAAAAGATTATTATTTTATCATTTTATATCAAATTATCTTTAAGATTATTCTACTGATTTAATATAGCATATCACCCATACTAGAATAAAAAAAAGATAATATACAGTCTCATAATTGTGGAGGTGCCATGCAAAAGCAAACAAGTCCACTCTAAACAATTGTTGAAAAAATGCAAAAAACTGTTATTGAATTTATTTTACACTTCACACCTGTAAAAATTTATTTATTTTTTTCATTTGGTATCTAACATCAATATTTGAAGGCAGTTTTTGATAGGAATATTGTATAGTTAGTATTTAATTATATGACATTAAAATATGGACATTGTTTCTTTTTGCTTGGACAGGGTGGATGTGTTTCTTTTTTGCATGAACTATGTTAGGATATGTTTTCTTTTGCCTAGCCACTATATTCTTTTTCACTTTGTTATACTGGCTGTTACTTTGACTTATCAAAAAAACATGGCATTTTACAAAACAGGGATGAACAATAAATGTCTTCTCCCAAACAATCACACAAGTTCCCATTATTTTCTTCTTTTTCCGGGTAATCTGCTTCAAGCTTGGTTCCATTTCGTAACACTTGTTTATACCATGAAAAACTCATCATTTTCTCATTACTTGCCATACAAAGTCTTTAAAAGTGATTCAATGTCTTTTTTCTTGGCAGCTGACAGAGGGTGACCTACAGGTAGTTGCTCGACTGGCTCCTCAAATCTCATCCCAAAGGAGCACTATATTTTTGTATTTTCTTCTTTGCCTGTACTCCAACAGTTTTAGGTTTCTTTCTAGATCCAACATTGCTTTCTTCTACACTTATCAAACTGTCTTCATCCATTTTCACTCAATTATATCACTGAAATACACTATATAATAAAATGTGTACTAATAAACAACATTTTAACATCAAAATCTCTGTTCCTACAGAATAACAAAATGACACAACAAAAACAAAACCACCTGTTGCATTCTGAAAGTCACATGACTCAATCATAGCTCTTCATTGGATGAGGCAGATTGCAATGGCTGTTTTGTTCTGCTTGGGACACATGTAAAGAGATGTTCTTTTTTGCACAGAATGTTGATTTTCAAAGCTCAAAAAGTGTTGGATGCATATTTTTTTGAATGAAACTGACTATAACAGTAGATAGGAATAAAGCTGAAAAAAAAAAATAAATTATAAAATCAACTTTGATATTTTGTGGATTTGTTTGATTTTTGCATGACACCTCCACAATTAGTGATGGACTTTTTCTTGGTATTGCAAATAAAGTTACTAAGATAGTGGTATACAGAATTACATTAAATTATATTTTTTTCATGTAGTGCTTTAAAACAACATATAAAACATTTATTTGATATTTCTTTTATCAAATCTTAAAAAATCAAGAAAACTGGTAATTTTATAATAAAACAAACTATAATTTATTTTAATCTTCTAATTTGAGAATTTATGAAGGAATTGTACTGGAAGAACTTTCTGATAGTGTTGAATTTAATTTTATCTTATTCTATCAGATACAGAAATACATTTTTGACAATATCAATTTATATTTTTTTGAATTTTAATTACTATAACTATAATGAATATGTAATAAAAAACTTCAAATATAGATTCAGATTTATCTTTGAGGTGATTTACACAATATATAATCATCTATTTTCTCAACATATCAAAATTTTATTTTTCAATAACATTGAAAAAAATAATCTCAGTAATGAAAATTTGGGTGCTTAAGAGGTTAATATAAATAGATGTATCCTATTTCATATTAAGTTACCTGAATTACATATATCTTTACCAATCATTTGGAGGTAGACGACAATCATAAATTCGAATAGTACCATCACCACATCCAGCAACTATTATGGAAGGTAATGATTTATCAGTTGATAATTTTGTTACACAACTATCAGCACCAGTTGGTATGTCCTAGAATAAATATGAACATTTATAATTTAAAACAAATTAAATAATTTTAACATTAGTAAGTATTTGAAAATTACCGAGAATAAAAATGCAAAATATGATTAAAATATAGTTATAGATTTGAAGCCCTTGGGGACATACAGTGCTAATCCCCAGTTTGTGGCATTCTGAGGTATTCAATTAGAAAGAATGCATTTGAGCATCAGCACACACCCATATCAGCTGGAGAAAAAATACACTGGGACATTGCAGATTGCAAAAAATAAAGTGTATGACAAATTGTCAAAAGTACTTTCATGTATATTTTATGCTTTAAAAAAAGCTATTAACACTGAAAGACAGTCTATTTAATGTTATTTTCACTTTTTCAACGATTAAAATCAAAACAAGTAAAACATATTCAAGTTGGTGCCAAAAATGCTTTATGACCCCAGTTTATAATTAATTTACAAATTAAAATAAAATACTATTATTAAAAAATTATTACCTGAATTTTCATTTCCTTTTCAGCATCCCATAAACGAATTATTCTTACATCTCCAGAAGAAAGTAATTTACATGATTCTTGTTCCCATTGTAGAATGAGACCTGAACCTATTATTATACCATAAGATAAGTTTAAAAAAATTTAAATGTTTGTTTTGACATAATCAAAAATTCAAGCATATTTTGATATGACAATTAATAAAACTTTGTTAAACTAAGAAATTATGTAAGCAACAAACAACAAAAGTTTTCTTAATAAAAATTTACATTTATAGAAGAATTTAAAACAAATTAACTAAAAAAGAAAAAAGGTTATTATTAGTGATGCCATGAATAGTGATTTTGCTGAATACCGAATACTCGGCTATGGTCTTGGCCAAAGCACCGAATATGCGGCAAAATATGTGTACAGTACATTTCACGGGTGACGGATTACGATCTGTCTCATTGTGGTGGGTATGGTAGCGACACCGCGTGTGCATTTGTTTTATTTGCGAGTAGAGCATGTCACAACATACATTATTTGTTCATTGTTACATCAAATTGTGTTACTAATAGTCCTTATTACTAAAAAATGCCACTGTTTGTATCACTTTATATGAAAACTGTTTGCCTACATTGGATGGCAGACCTTTACAAGTGGTGGTCAGCAAATGCAAAACAGTACCCAAGCCTGACATAATTTGCTAAGATTTATCTACTGTCTCCTGGCAGTAGTGTATATAGTGAGAGGCTATTTTCAGAAGCAGGTATAGTTTATGAGGAAAAGCGCAATCATTTGCTATCAACAAATGCTGAAAAAATTGTTTTCATTTATCACAACTTACCACTGATAATTTTAAGTATTAAATGTAATAATTTGTGATTAAAATAAATACGTTTTTGAGTAATATGTGCATTTTTTTTATGATTTGGTATTCGGTATTCGGCTGAATAGTATGCAACATTCGGCTGAATACCAAATATTAAAAAAAGTAACTGAATAGTAGCCAAATATTCGTGGCATCTCTAGTTATTATATTAATGTAAATAAATGTAAATTAATATAAAAATGATTAAATAATCCTTTGGTATTTTGAAATTAGTGAAATATTTCATAAATTTATTTCTGTTTTTCAAATAGGATATATAGGCTAGTATGCTATTCATGCCAAGTAATATTAATTAGTAGTTAAAACTCCCTGTGTTCAGCATTATTAATTGTTTTTTCGTTCATTCGAGCGCTTTCAACAAATATATTTCTGTCATCTTCAGGAGAATAAAATGTTTTAATCGAACATGAATGTCTGAGAGAAGAACACACATAAATTTAAAATTAAATAATTTTTGATATGAATCCGCTACAATTTGAATTATGTGCGATGTTACGAATATGATGAAATACGGCGCATGCGTGGTACTGCTTCCTGTCAGTGATATGGCATATGATGTAACTCGCTGTTTAATCGTTTGTATAGGGCGATCCATATATTAGGCAGCTCCAGATTAATGATGAACGAAAAAACGATTAATAACGCTGAACACAGTGAGTTTTAACTACTAATTAAATAGGATATAATGTTAAATAGATATTTTCATTATTAAATAGCAAATAAAATATAATAGAACAGCTACCATGAGATTTGAAATCATTTATTTTCTCAGAAACTTTATCTCCAAATTTCAATAATTTGAGTTCATTAACTTTTTCTTTATAAAAACATTATGAAAATTCATAAGCAATCTTTTAATTGTAATGGATGAATAAAAAAGGAATTTTAAAAAATATAAATAATTACAATTATTATTTTCTAAATTTTAAATTGTATTTTTTCAAATTTTTAATGGCAAAACTGAACAATGTTTTCAGCTAATTTCAGATGTGTGCAATGTCCCTTCACTACATATACCATTACAATATAACACATAATTTATAAGTCAATTACATACTTATAATATTAAAAATAAATCTACGGCTTTAAAATAAAAAAAATTAATGAGAGTGAAACTAAATGGCTTCTTATATAAGATTTTGTCTGTAGAATTTGTTGAATGAAATTATGAAGTTCTTTGATATTACAGATTTGTACAGTAAAATTGAAAAATACTTTAACAATTATGAAAAATCAAGGTTGAAAACTACTATAGCTATTTGTTTAATTTTTGAGAATGTTTTGAAATTGTAATATTAGTATAAGATTGAAAAACTAGTTTTTTTTCTTTCAGTTTAAGATATTTAACAAATATATATTCTTACACATTACGAAATCTCTAAAAATGTTTAAATATTTAAATTATAAACAGTACAGTCTAAATAGTTTAATTCTGTGTAGTTAAAGATACTACCATCCTTAAACCAAAGTACTCAAACACAACCAGAATGCATAAAAATTACATATTTGGGTAATTCAAAACAAGTGTATGATGAAACACCATATACTGAAATAGTAAGCACAACAAAAGGTCTAACAACAGCTTTCAATTTATTGTGTTGTGAAACGATATATATAACAGATACTTCCAGATAAGATTGCCACTTGCCCTGTATTGTACAAGACATCATATATTTAAGTGCAATATATGATATTTAACCAAAGCAATACTTTAATGTTAATTCTTTTGCCTTATATCCTTATTAAATTCTTTATTATATCATTGTCTACGTTGAACTTTGTACAGGCGACCCCCATAATGCGGGTTCATATAATGCAGACTCGTATATCGTGGCAAAAAAATTGCGACCATATTCGTATAAAGACGCTAAAAGAGACTCGTAAAATGTGGTAAAATGTCATCGCCGACTTGTGTCGCAACAGGATTGGTCGAATCTGGACCAATAGTGGATGAGCAGCCAAACTACTTACACACTACGGAGAGTTTAGGCGGTTAAGTTGAGTTTACTATCGTCTGTACAGTATATAAATTAGGTACTATAAGTCTAATACAGTGCTGTAATTTTATACATTTCTTGTGAAAAAAACATTTCTTATTCAACGGCCATAAAAATTATTTCTTTTAATGATGTCTCCAAAGTTCAATGAATTTTTTGCAGAAAAATAACTTATCAGAAAATGCGCCTGCCGTTTGGTGCGCTGCTCCGCGACAAAAACAAGCTTAAGCAATGGAGTCATTGAATGGTGCACACTCAGTACGTAATCCTACAATTTTTTGTTTATAGCATAGTTTATACAGATTATTCCCAGAAAATTATACGTATTTTGGAAATGTTGAGTCAAATTAGTCTAGAATCAATTAATTTTATGGAAGAAAACCTTTCAAACAGCCATAGTCCGTAAACTGCACATGTGCCGGGCTGTGATTGGCTCATGTATTTAAGAATTCCTACAACGTGAAATTCTTATAAAGTGAAACGTATCTACCGTGTTATGGGGGGGTCGACTATATATTAATAAGACTTATTATACTGGTGTTGTTTCTGTTTTAGCAAATAGAATTCTTATTCAGAAAACCAAATACCTTTATTTTTTCATCTTATAGACAATGATAAAATAAAGAATATTTTAATATAATGTCATTTATATCATTACATATTCCATATATTTTGACTTTTTGATTGTTTGAGGTTGTCTCATTCCCAATCAACTCAAACTACCAAGACTCTATTGTATATAATGTAATAATATATACTGAATATATTTTTATACAGAATCAATAGCATAGCAATGTTCTTACCTCTTATAGAAGGCAACATATCTGAAAGAATTTGAAATGCACTAACTAATTCGGTTTGTTTACTATCATTAATATAATTTCGCCATATCCTGACTGCACCATCATCTATTAAAAAATATATTTATTTCAAATCATATGATCATAATTTATAAAATTATAAAATGTATAAAAATATATTATAAAAATTAATATTTTCATTCATATCTATACAGAAATTATACAAAATAATTACACATAAATTAAGTTAAGCTTGACATACAGTAATAAAGAAATGATAGTGCTAAATTTTAATTGGGCTATGATAAGATATATCACAAAAGTCTGAGGTCACCCCAATTTTTTGGAATAATAAATTTTTATTATACTTAAACAAAAAATTAGTGACAGGAATAAATTTACATGTAAAAGAATTACTTATTCTGTTTACAGTCAAAAATAAAAATATTAATTTTTTAATGCAAAAACTCAAAAATAATGATGTTGCAAAAATATAAGGCTAATAGCATTTAATAGACAGTAAAACAACCAATTTTTTCTTAAGACAGTTTTTCAAAATAATGTTGTACGCCCTATCTTTTATAGAGTTATCAAGATTTTGCATACTTAAATTGATTTCTTCCCACACAATTAGAACTGTAGCTTTGAGTTGTTCAATACTGTGGTACTGTTTTGCTCCTGTCACACATCTCTAATTATTAGATTCCATAGATTTTCTATGGGTTCAAATCATGAGAATAGGCAGGCCAATCCATAACCTGAACACTATTATCCAGTAGTCACTGATAAGTGAAGTTTGCATTATAAATTGGTGCATTAATCTTGTTGCAATTGTCAGAATAGACCACCAATTTTTTTCTCCAAATGGCAGAAAATACGCATCAAAAGGCTTTGATACCAAATTCCTTCATTCAGCCATTTATGAATGCTAAATTGATTTTTCTGAACCATCCAAAACCTGTCTAGATCATGACTGATCCCCTCCTTGCTGACACTTGGCAAACAAAACTCCTCCCTCCCAAGATTATGTCAATAAAATTGCCAACCATCAGGACAATCCAAATTGTACTTTTTCTTATCAGTACAAATAATTTCACACCATGCTGAAGTCTACAACATTTTATCTTTGGTCCATATTAGTCTTTTTTTGTTGTTTTAGATATGATGCTGCTTTTCTATTTTTAAACATTACATGTTTTGTTGATTTTATCATCTGGGAAAGTGTGGATTTGTAAACATTAACATCAGGTCTTTGTGCTATTTCACCTAATGATGTTCCTATTGTTCGTATTTCCCTGATAATTGCTGATTTCTGCTTGCTTGTTAACTTGGAAGGCCATCCTGTTTGTCTTTTCTTTCCACATTGCACACTAAGTTTAATATCTTGGCTACAACACAATGAGATCTCTTCAGCTGCTTTACAATAGCTCTAGTAGAACTTTCAGCCTGATGGAATGCCCTGATTTTGCTACACTCAAAAGGCAGTTTAGGACTTACGTCTATCCATTGTTAAAATTACTGTAGTTATCATAACAATTAATGGTGTTATAAATTCATATTCATTTATACCTTTATTCACAATTATGAAGTGTTACCATCTCTTTATAATTATTACATTACAGGTGACAGTGAAACTTTTTTGATAAATTGCTCAAAAATGAAACTGAATCACTATTATTTTTGATTTCTTGAATAACAAATTTTTATTTTCATTTTTAGTTTTGATTATTACTAGAAATAATCATTTTACATCTACATTTCTTCTTCTCACTAGATTTTTCTTAGATATATTATTCCAAAAAGTGGTGTGACATATTTTTGCAACATACCTTATGTCTAATTATAAAGGTATCATATAATTTGGACTAAAGGTAATTGGTCAAGTGCCTACCAGTGGCCAAGTGGTTCCATTCTCTGAACATTAGGAGTTTGGTCATGGGTTCGCACCTCACCAGGACGGGCTGGCCATGTGGAGTTTTCCAGGTTTTCTCCACATCTATAATGCCTGAATAGAGGCCAGTTACCCTTAAAAAACCTCATAGAAGGCATCCCCCTAGGCAGATCGCCCAAGTGTTGCTTTGCCATAAATTAACAAAAGAAACAATTGGTTAAGTCATTATCTTGTATTAAATTTAATAATTAGAAATAAATAAATTAGTTTATAATATTCTGAAAGAAAAGACTGATTGATATAAATTAGTCTAGGAGATCTGAGCAGTGTAATTGCTAATGTATCTGCATAGCAAAATAGAAGTTAAAGATTTGAGTCCTGCTCTAGATTAATTTTTCTTCCAGAATATTTAAATTAATTAATTTATTTCTAATTATGAAATTTTATACAAGATGGCAACTTAGTTACCTATCTTTAGTCCAAATTACATAATATATCTTGATAATAAATTAGTCATATTATGACCAGATTAAAATCTGGTGGTAATATTTGTTCATTATATAAAGTAATACAGTGGTACCTTGGTATACGTCTGCTTTAGAATACGTCGTGTTTGGACGAAACAAATTTTGCTCGGTATACGACTTAATTCAATTATATGTGCCATCTATGAATAAGTAGCACTATCAGTGTACTAGGACAGACTAGATGTTCGCAGTGCCACAGTTTATAATCTTGTTAAATTTATTCTGATTTTAATTTGTAAGTAAAATTTTATTATTTTTATTAATCATGAGTTGCAAAAAGGCAAATGAAAAGCAACAGAAAACTAAAAAAAAAATGACTAGAATCATAATAGAACTGAAAAAAGAAGACTGTTGAGAAATACAAAGGTGGCACGCATATTTGAGATTTTAACTGTTGTATGCTGTATTCCGAGAACGACGATATCGACAATTGCGAAAAATAAAGACATTATTAAATCTGCTAATGTTACGAAAGGGGTTAAAATCAATTTCTAAACAGAGATTGAAGACATTAGATCATGTTAAGAAATTGCTTTTGCTTTGGATAACTGAAAAACAGTGTGCTAGAGACAGCGTATCAGAAGCAATTATTTGCGAGAAAGCTAAAAAGATACATACTAATCTCATGAAAAATCAAGCAGGAACTAGCCAGGAAAGCGAGGTGTTTAAAGCCAGCCATTTTTTTTTACATGAGAATTTTTACATTACTTCTTATGAGAAAGGTTGGTTTGGTATACATCCTATTTGGTATAAGTCCAAACATCAGGAACAAATTAAGGCCATATTCCGAGGGTCCACTGTAAATCTTTTACAAAATTACTCATTTCTTTTAATAAGAAAATGATCTATTGTTAAGTTTAATGTTTAGACCACATCTGTTGATAGATACACAATGGTTGATAGATAAAAGATTTGCATTGAAGTCAGAACTATTAATATATATTAAATAAAAAATCATATTTTTGATAATCTGAAACCATGTTGTGACTCTTCTTTGATTCTTAAACACTTGGCATTCTATCATCTTTATTTTGTTCAACTGAACTAAATAAAGATGATAGAATTTATTGTTTGAATTTATTACACTACATTGTGTTTAAGAACAAAAAAAAATCATATATTGCTAATAAACAATCAAGTCATAACATTCAAAAAAAATTTTCACATGAAACTTAAAAGAAATTCAAAATTTCATGTTCATAAATATTGAAACTTAGTATGAGAACCTGGACTCAATCTCAATATCTTAAAATAATAATAGAAAATATTATCAATATCTATCAATTTTCACACCTGGGAGCATCGCCTGCTATCTTTTCTTGGCATAGAAAGTGACTCTTTCCTGCAACCTTCTAACCGGCTGTCACTATTCTGCTGTTAATGTGACAACTAACAGCCAAGACAGGCAGTCGCCGCCAGTTCCTCGTCTGATAATGTCAATGCTGTTCTTCTGAAACGGAATACCTTATTGCCTCTAAATTGGAATAACCTCATCTCTGAAACCCAGAATAATCCTACACTCCATGACTTTGAATCTACTTCCAGAATGAGACATTTACCATGTATAATATGTCATCCAGAACTCTCTTCATTTATTCAACTTTCTTAAGGGACAGACTGACTCCTCTCCTGCATCAGGACTACAAGAAGATCCTTCAAACTCCAGGTATTTACATCTGCATGCAATTTCATGTAAGCTCTTTCTCTCTCAACCACCCATGGTGTATAGGTCTGTTTATTTTGCTAGAGCACAATATTTATCATGTAAATCTTTTTCTTCTCAATTAAACGGTTATTTGTTTGTTTAACTGGTATCTGACTGAGTCACTTCCATCTCACCGTCTCCTCGATCCAGAATCCAATCACCTACACACACAACTTGTGTAACAAATTGTGAGAATCCAGAGATGGAATATTTTAATTTGTTAAAATATTAAATTGATGTCAAATTTAACACATTTCTATCAAATTTGTGGGAAGGGAAATAAAACTTCCTTTGGGAGAGATGTTATCATACATATCCGATGAACATCTGGCCACATGTGTCAGAACAAATACCCCATCAGATGTTAAATCCTAAAACCCAATTGGAGGGGAATTTAGTATAAAAAGGGGGTAAAAATGCAAACTTGAGGCAGTCAAAGGAGAAATGAACAATGCCGTATGGAAGTATGGAAGCCATAGGAAGAGCAAAGTCCTGCTCTGGCTCTTCATCAACAGTCTCCAAACCCAGCTGCATCTTCATCTCATTACGAATTCTCTGTCAGCCCAGAATCGCCAGTTAACCTCTCCATAAGAAGAATATTAATCAAAGACCGATTATACAACAGCCTGACATAAAGCCCAATATTTGTCAATAGAGGTAGTATGTTTTTATTGATGTAAATTCTCTCTCTTGCACTTAGATAGGGACTTTAGAAACTGTCTGTGTGCAATCACATACTTGTACAGTATCTTTATGCTCATCATTTTCATTAAATATTACTTTTAGTTTGTTTAAATGATCTCATTCTTGATCCCAAATATATGCTGAAGTTTTATCAGGAGTCCACGATCCTCCCACTCAGACAAAAGTATAAAAATATTATATTGCATGCCTAATGCACTAATTAGGCTGGTATCAGGAAAAATCTAAAGGAGGATTGTAAGAACTTCCTGTTGACAAAACAAAATACTACTATCATCCCATT